GCCAGTATATTACAGGCCATACACCCAAAAAAGGGCAAAAGGGTACTACTAGGAACCTTTGATCTGACTCCCTAAAACGCTCTTTGAAGCCCTGAGTAAAGGAAATGGTATCCCCTTTACGCTCCTAGAATCATTAAAAATTAGTAAATGAATGAATGAATGAATGAATGAATGAATGAATGAATGAATGAATGAAGACTTGCATATAAGTAAACACTATACATGGGCCCACATAACCTCATGTTTCTAATACATAACTACTATCATATGCCTCATAACCCCAATCTGATTTGTTGCTGAGGCCGAGAAACAAAATCCAAAAATATCCCTTATACTCGAGCAGCCGTTTCAGGACTTTAGAAGATCCCTTCAACGACGCCTATGAATTTTGCTGCTAAGCGCCCCCCCATAATTACCCTGCTTCGCCTTGAAGGCACTGGCTGCTGAGAGCACCACGGCTGTGAGAACCAGCCTTGGCATGACCTGTTCACGTGCACCGGCTAGGGCTCAGGGTCTAGGGTTCGGGATTAGGGGCTTGGGGTGGCTTGGGGTTTAGGAGTTTGGGGATGAAGGCTATGGAGCTTTATAGGTGTCATGCATTTTGGGAGCCATGGCCAACACGAGGCCGCACCTACCGACAATCTCATAAGCGAAGAACCTAAGCTGTAGATCGTCAACCATTAACAGTTAACGTGCCTGCAGCCTCTAAAGCCCAAAACCCAGAAAGCAGCCAAAGTTTTAAAGCCCTGGATGCTAGATCCAGAGCGCACCAGCCCTAAACCACAACGACAGCTCTGTGCTGCAAGCCAGACAAACTCCACTCCGGAGCCTTCCCACGCAGGACTTGTTTTCATGATGATATTCTTGCAAATTAGCACAGGGACGTGCTTCTTCGAAAATGGTTTATGGACGGGCTGTTCTAGAATGTTCTACAGATTGGGATTCCTTTCCGGTACATTTGATAATCGAACAAGGGTGGATCCTGATTCACAGGAAGCTTCCGGTATCGAAACTTTGGGACCGAAGTTAAGGTGATTTGCGCCCCTTAAGGACTTGGGCTGGGGCCTCAAAACTAAACCTATGGAAATAAGTAGAATACTACACATTACCGTAACAAGGAACTACAGACATTCTTATAAACTCTAAAGACCCTGGACCCTACAACCCCCAAGCCCAAAACGACCCTAACAGCAAAGCCCTAAACCCCACGCCCTGAGCCACCTGCAGGTAAACCGCTCTTCGCGTGGTTCCGAAGGCGGCGGTAATGGAGAGTTGAGAGTCAAAGCTGCAGCAGCAATTAGGGGTTCCGGGTTTAGGGTTCAATCTGTAATTAAGCCCAAATTAAGGGCCTAAATGGTGAGTGCTCGGTCCCAGGGTACTGCACATTACGGCTGTACAGCGGCTACGAAGTTATGCAGCTCGTACTCGCCTGCTGACGAGAGTCGGCACCAAACAACGACAAGTAGCTGAATCGTGAGACCCTACTTGGAGGTTCATGGGTAGTTATAAATGGGCTATAAGTAGGGTGTAACTGTAAAAACCCTTTTTAGGGGACTTATAAACATACTAACTACCCATGAACCTCCAAGTACTGAGAGCCTTCAACCTTAAACCCTAAAGCCCTCGAGGCTTGAGGGGCAGACGTTTTCAGGATGAGAACCGAAAGTGCTTCGGGTTTGGAGTTCAGGGCTTGGGTTTTTAGGGCTTAGGGGTTCGGGTTTAGGGTTTATAGGTGTTTAGGGGTTTAGGGGTTTAGGGGTTTAGGGGTTTAGGGGTTTAGGGCATAGGGCTTCAGATTGTCTTGTCTTTCAGAGCTAAGGATGATTCCTGGCAGGTACAAGCACCTCGAACCAGCTTGGCAGTAATCTCGGCAGCTGCGCTTTCGTGTGGCGAGAAACTCATCCACACGGAAGATGAACTGCTCCTAGACTTTTAATTTGAGCTAGTTCATGGTTGGGAAAGAATGAACACTTTATTTCTATTCCTTATTGGGTTTAAGTGGCCATAAACATGTAAAATGCTACCCCACTTAGACTAAGATGGGTTTAGTCAAGGCTCTATTTGTTGTGCCTTCTTTTTGGGAATGGCGATTGAGCTCTGCGGTTGAGGTTGTATAGTTCGCAGATACCAGCACAGACTGTGTTAAGCCACTACTGAACCCCAAAGCCTACACCGTCAACCCTTAACCCTACCCTACACAACCTTACATACACATCCCTAAACCCTAAACCCGTAAAGCAAAGACTCCCTTACAGTGAAGCGCAAGCTTAGTACCTGCGACACACAGGCCAGAAGCGGAAGCATGTTCTCAAAACCCGAAAAGAGGCCCATGACGTGGCTTTAGGCCCCAACCCCACAACCCCTAACTGCAAAGCCGAAGCCGGCAACTTCCAAAAACCCTCCTCCCCACCCCATAAAGAACGCTAGACGGAACCTCAAGAATCCCCAGAAGTCTTTAAAAAAGCCGAGGGATCCATCAGAGAACACGTAAAGGAGACCCCCAAAGATGCCTTATAGCTTATTCTTATGTAAGGGTTGAGGGTTTTAGGGTTTAGGGTTTTTACCTTAGGGTTCAGGGTTTTAGGGTTTAGGGTTTAGGGTTTACCTTAGGGTTTAGGGCTTAGGGTTTAGTAGGCTTTAGCATTTCTAGGGCTTAGGTATCGGCCTCATAAGCTTCCTCGGAGATCAACTTGCCCTTGAAGAGCTCCACCTCCAATACCTGTCTTTGACCCTGGGAATTGGGAGTTAGGATACCCTAAACCCTAAACCCTAAACCCTAAACCCTAAACTAGGAGCTAGGATTAGGGGGACCCTTGGGGACATAGACCCCCTCAGCAAGGTTTTAAGAGGGCCAGAAGTAGGCTTAAGAAGGGTCCCCTTTAAAGGGGTATCCCTAATACTACCTAGGAGAATTGGGGTGTAGGGCTGTGGGTTATAGGGTTTATAAGGGTTTAGGGCTTAGGGTTTTGAGAAAACTCTGAGAGTTCTTCTTTCTTCGGGTTTAGGATTTGGACGGGTGTATATAAGAGACAGTTCGTTCAGTTCTACATGTGTAAACAAGTAGAAAGATGTTAAAATCTGCTAGATAGCTTTTAGAGATAGAATTCTGCAAGCATACACACACAAGGAAAGATAGATAGACCGCCTTAGGCTGACAGATAGCTAGATAGAGTGTTTCTTTGTCCTTTGCATGCCTTCAGGTATTCTCGGGTCTAGCGTAAAAGTAGAGGTGTAGTACCCTAAAAACACACCGTTGAGAGTTGAGGGCCGATTGAAATATGGCGATCTTACCTAGTGGGTGCCTGCAGCTCTGAGGCCAAACAATCAAAAGCCCTGAACTCTGAAGCCTAATCGCTTGCTTATGCGTCCAAACCCGGAGCCCTAAAAAGCTGAGCCGCTCACTCCGAAAAATGGGCGAAATAGATGCCCACCACAACCCTTACGAAGCGGCGCCAAAGACCTAAACACGGCAGCCCACAGCAACAGAATACGCTTAGCGGCAAAGTTACGCACTACCAGGCCCTACCCCTGGTTCCCAATGTAGCCCCCAAAAACTTTAACCAGATTCAAACAGCAGAGCTACAAAGCTATAGATCGTCTAGGAGCCTTGATAACTAGAATCGGGCTTTGGGAGACTGCTGTACCGGAGCGATCATGACAGGGAACTTACTACAAATGATGATTCAGGCCTCTATACATTCCCTAAGGGTCACAGTCCTCTCTACTACTGTCAGACGTTGACTCCTTGTTTGGTACCAAAATTTTGAAAAAACCATGAACATAGTGTTTATGGCTTCGGCTTTAGGGTTTTTTCGGTTTAGGGCTTAGGGTTTAGGGTACCAAGAAAGAACTACTTGGACCCCTAGGGCAAGGGACCACCGACACGCTGTGCACCTCGTCTCTCATCAGCCGTTCTGCCAGAGTCAACCCTGGCGAACGCTCGATGACCACCTCAGGGCTTGTTTGGCTTTGAGAGCATCCGGTTGTGGGATCCCAAAACCCTCAACTTTTAGGGTTCTGGGGCCTAGAGTTTTGCGGCTGTGCAGCTTTAGGCTTCAGGGGTTTAAGGCTTGTGGCTTTAAGGCTTAGGGTGCCACTGAGCCATTACATCAGGTTCTGGGACCGTTGGGGGGGGGGGGGGGGGGGGCTGAGTTCCGCATTTGTGTCGTGCGGTTCACATGGCAGTCACTGTTGGCGTGCTTCGCTTGGCTTCCACGGGGTGCTTTACGACAAGGCTGTGTCATGGGCTAAACCCTGAACACCAACTCCTCATTCTGGGGCTTCGGAGGATTCTGCTTTGAACCGTGCTCTGCCTGCCACGTTCACCACTCGATTTCGGGCTTGAGGCGAAGAGTTTGGGATTTAGGGCCATCTGCATGCATGAAGGTCTGACGGCAATCGCGACACCCAAATCCGAAAAGTGTCAAGGCTGAAAACTAAAACCTCCCCTAAATCCTAAACCACTGTGGTGTACTAGGCCTTGCCGCGCCAGAAAGGGCTTAGATCCCAAACACTATGCCCTGAACGCTTTGCAGTACCTAAAGCCCGCCCAGTACAGCACCCTAATCCTAAAACCTTCAACTCCGCAAACCCCAAACCCCAAACCCCA